TGGTGATTCAGGCTCCCAAGGTCCCTAGAAGACAGGTGGCTCCCCAGGCTCTCTGTCACATGAAGTACGTGGGGATCTCGGGCGAGGCTGCAAGTCCCAGGGCCTAGTGTCTGGCCTCCCTGGACACCTTGTGCCATCAGACATTTCCCTGGGGGACCAGCCTCCATCATAGGGGCAGCTCACCCTCCCCAGTTCTGGGGGCTGTCCTTTGTCTGCTCTTCAATCTCTGCCCCCCAACCCCTACTACACCTTTCCTTGGGGTGAGGGGCACACGGAGCCTCAGGCTGGGCCTCCTAGAGTTGGGCTTGGTGGCAGGGGCCAAAGGACCCCTGAGGGAACTGACAATGAATTCATGACTCAGCGACTGGCCCCGTCACAGGGCCCATTGGAATGGCCACCTGCCTGCCTCACGCCCAAGTCTTCCAGGGTGTTTCTAAATCATCAAAACCTCGAAGAGCCTCTCCTTCTGCCATCTGGTTCTTCTGAAACCAGCCTGCCAAAGGGGCACCCTGGAATCTGCACACGTCTTGGCTCGGAGACACATTTTCATTGAAGGCTGGTGGTGTGACGGAGGTTCTAGGGATGATGTCAGATCCTGGCTCATGGTTTGCCCCCACTTTGGAAGGCACTGAAGTCCACTCTTTTCCTTTTTCTAGAACCCAGTCCTGTGCTCCTTCAAAGTCCCAACAGTGGGAGGTTTCTTCACTCTGCAAGGTCTGGCCCAAACCACCTAAGCCCTGAGGAAGGGAGTGTTGGTTGTACCAGTAACTGATGGACTAGTTTCTGGCACTGAACCAGACTCTCCTGTGCCAAGAGGTTCCAGGAAAACTAGCACATCCCAGGACCGGGAGGAAGTAAGGCAGCAACGAGGGACTTTTTCCTAGTGAATCCAATAACTCCTTGGAAAAATAATCCACCAAAGGTCAAATATAGATAGAAAACAACCTTCCAGGCTTTTGGAGGCATTTTTTTTCCTAAAGAAAGAAAAAGAGAAAATATTCCATGCATTGGCTCTTGAAATAAATTACTAGGAATATAAAACTCATCCATCCATATAATAAATATATGCACATCGGTTCTGTATTATGGCAAATTAATTGTGTTGGTCGGGGAAAGAAGCAGAAATATGAAGCAGAGAAAGGATGAGAGGAGATGGAGGGGGACCTTTGGAGGTTAGAGAAACAATGTCAAAAACAGTTTCAGAGGCAGAGATATGACATAAGAGAACAGAGCACAGTGAAAGAACACCAGACTGAGTCGGTGCAAGAGATTACCTTACGGATACAAAGAACAGAGCAGGGGTTACCAGAGGGGAAGCGGTGTTGGGGGAGGGCGAAATGGGTAAAGGGTGCCAACTCTCTGAGAATGGATGGAGACTAGACTTCTGGTGGTGAGCATGCTGTAGTGTCTACAGAAGTCAAAATATAATGTTGTAACTTATACAATATTATGAACCAGTGTGACTGTAATTCAAAGATTACGTTATGTGAAAGTAAGTCATTGTTGTCAGACCTTTCTATTTACACGAGTGTCTTAGAAACACGGAAGGTCAGAGCTGCGAGATCATGAGGTCATCTTGCCCAGTTCCCTCTGGGTTGAACGGTGGTCCCTCCCCTCCCGCCGCCCCAACGAAAATTCATGTCTATCTGGAACCTCAGAGTGTGAGCTGATTTGGAAATGGGGTCTTTGCCGGTGTAATTAGCTGAGATGAGGGTATACTGGATTAGGATGGGCCCTGAATCCAATTACTGGTGTCGCTATGAGAAGGCCATGTGCTGACACAGACACTCATGCATAGGGCAGAAGGCCACGTGACAAAGAGGCGGGGCTTCACGTGGTACAGTGCAAGCCAGGGACACCGAGGATTGCCAGCAAACACTAGAAGCTAGAAGAAGCAAGGAAGGATTCTTTCCTAGAGACTTTGGAGGGATCATGGCCTGACTGACATTTTGCTTTCGAACTTCTGGCCTTCAAAACTGTGGGTGAATAAATTTCTGCTGCTTCATGTCATAGTTTGTGATAATTTGCCACAACAGCCTCAGCAAACAAATACACCTTTGACAGAAGGACTCCAGGATGTGTGACCTCTCCAAGGTCACAGGGACACCCGGTAGCCAATCTCATGTTCCAACTTGTCTTTTAAGAATTGTATATATTCCCAGTATCCTTCATCCTCTGTGAACATGAAAACAATTTTTCTCTTCTGTTGTCAAAGTTCATGTTGAAACAAAGATTTACTTCCCACTGAATTATGAAATCTGTATGAAGGGACAATTCAGGCTTCAGAAATACTTTGGACTCTGAAGCTTTTCGAAATATTTACTGCCTATTCCTTGGGCCTTCCAAGACAGTCTGTAGCTTATTACACTTGAGAGATGAGGGCTATCTCTTTTTAACACTGAAATCACCATTTATTTCTTCATTCTGAGCAGTTTTTCCAAGGCAAGCCAAGTCCTTCTTGGGACAGTGGGCTTAAAACTGTCCATGAAGTAGACCCTTCGGTAAGAAATGAGTTGACCGCTCTTTCTGGGTTTTCAGCTGACATCGAATCGTCTGGAGAACACAAGAGTTTTTAATGATTTCATAGTTCTTCACCCTTTTTTGGATCATGTCTCCGAGAAATTGATAAAAGCTATGAACTCTCTCCCAGAATATTGTGTACTCACAACTTTTTGCACCCACACTCAGGGGGCTCACAGATGCCATGACCTACCCCAGTGCCCTCTGGGGACCTCAGTTGTGGAGGCAGTGGGGCATCCAGTCCATCTTTTCACCTGAGCCTCAAGGTCCTGAGCAAGGGCTGAATCTGACCTCTGGTAGAGGTTTTCTCTCCAACATGCTAATGATACTGGTGGAGAATCTTCAACACAACTGTGCTCAGGAGGTGAGTTCTGGCTGAGCAGCTTTGGGGGAACTTCTTAAGACTCTCAAAGACTGGGTCAGGCCAATGGGATTCCTGGCAGAAATTCTCAGGGGACAGCTGTGGCTTTTTGAAGAGAACTGATTGAATCATAGGGCTGGAAAGGACCCAGGGATGACAGGCTGTCTTCCTGCTATTCCTTGAGGACACCATTCTCTGTGCCCCCATTTGCTTTGAATTTCTCCATCACAGCCTTTGTCCCGCTGTTGTAACTGGCTCTCTACTCACCTGTATCTCTACTGGGTTGTACGGGAGAGCAGGACCCACGTGATTCTTAATCTTCCTATTCCTAACAGTGTTGGGAAAACAGAGCACGACGGATACAAGCTTGTTGAGTAAGTGATAGTGGCTGGTTCAAGGCAGGGCTTCTCAACCTTGGCACATTGGCATTTTTGGACTTGGTATTTCTTTGCCATGGGGGCTGTCCTGTGCATGGCAGGGTATTTAGCGGCATCCCTGGCTTCTACCCATCACATGCTAGTAGCGCCCTATCCAGTTTTGACAACTAAAAATGTCTCCAGGCGCTGCCTGGTGGAAAACCACTGCTTGAATGAATGAATGTTGATCTTGGAGCCACTTCACCCATCGTGAGTCTGTCAGGGACTGAGGGTTCAGTTAATCAGCTCATGCTGATGGAGCGCTCAGTATTTATGAACTGGGTGGCTGACCTCTTGTGACTCCTCAGGAGAGGGGAAAAAATTCCACTGTGTGCGTTCTAAGTGGTCTAGTCTTTCATGATCGATTACAACGTGAGGACACGAGGGGACGCTCTAACAAGCTCTACGGCGGAGAAAATGTCCACTCCTGGAAGTGGTGACGGACGGTCGCTCCTGTTAAGTGATGAGCTGGGGCTTAGGTGCTTGCTGATGTCATTGGGTTAGGACAGCAGAACCAGGATCCTGGGTTTAGAGAGGCTCTTAGCCATTAAATCTACTCAAAGACCCCTGTTTATGGGGTTTCCTCCACAGACATATAAAGACCAAGGGGAATATAATTAAAGACCCACTTATGCTCCATAAAAAATAAGCCATAAGGAGTACAAACAGGGTCTTCCCAGCTCTCACAGAAATGGCCCTGCTCTGGTGTGGCAGCAATGGACTGAGCAGCTGACACGGGGACTCTGGGCTCTCACGAAACCATCGACTGTCGACTGTCAGACTAAGGTTGTTAGAGATTGTCTAACACTTTGTCTCCACCCTAAGTCCATGGCCCTCAAAACTGGGAAACTATAACATGTCTGTGATACAACATTGTGTGTGCCCATACCTTCCATCATTTTTTAAAACTGAATTAAAGTCAGTTTACAATGTTGTGTCAGTTTCTGGTGTACAGCATACTGTTTCAGTCATACATATTCTGAAAGAAGGCTGAAGCCTCCAAACATTAAGAACCATTAGTCTAACCTCTTCATTTTAGAGATGAAGAATCTGAAGCTCAGAGGTTAAGAGGCTCCTTCAAGCTTCTACAGCTATGAGCTGGCAGAGCCAGGACCCACACTCAGATCTCTGCCTTCAGACCCAATAGGGTGGTGCTGTCATGGGGACCTGGCCTGTGGGACAGTGAGGTCTGGTTTGAGGCCACAGGGCAGGGTGGGTCCCAAGGCTTGGAGGGGTGGGAGGGTGCTTTGCCAGTAGGATTACCAGATGAAATGTAAGATGCCCAGTTAAATCTGAACTTCAGATAAAGGAACAGTTTTATAGTGTAAGTATGTCCCAAATGTCACATGGGACATAGTTATAATCAAAAACTATTTGCTGTTTATCTGGAATTCAAATTTGACTGGGCATCCTGGTTTTGGGGCGTGTTGGTTATTGTTTTCTGTTCAGTCTGACAACAGCCTAGCAGTCTTCAGCTGGGAGACAAACACTGAAGCCCCAGCCAGTGGCCATAATAACTCCGTGTTTGAGACTCAGACTACCTCTGACTTCAGTGAGGGCACAGAGGCCCTGGCCTGAACAAGACAGCCCGCTGATAGGACCTGCCTGCTTCTGTCTGTGACTTCCAATGGTCTAGGGAGTCCCCAGGCACAACAGGTGCTCTGTACGCATGTGTCCTCTCAGAAGATGACATCTCACAGGTCTGTGAAGAGTAAAGATCAAATTTATTTAATACAACACCCTGCAGGGTCCCTGCGACCGTGTCGCTGGGGAGGACAAGGGAAGTGGTTTGGGTTACGTGTGCTCACTAATGCAATCCCACTGCAGAATGGCCGCAGCCCCTGGTCCACCCACTCAAGACAACATGAGAAACCTGTGAAGACCTAGGGAGACCATTTCTTCAGCAAGGAATAAATTAAAAAAAATTAGTAAGAAAAATATGCACTTCATTTTCCTATTAAAAATAATACTTGCTGGAAGTGACCATCTTCCTGTCCTTCAGCATGGTAGAGGAAACAAAAAAGAGAATAGAAAAACAGCCTAAGAACACCTGTGCTTTGTCCAACTTCATCTTCTATTTGGTGCATTGCCCAGAATGAACCTTGTCTTCAAGTTGGCATCTCAAAGGGGTTGCTCCCAAGCCGCTCTGTTTTCCATTTGTGGCAGGCGAGGTCACAGAGGGGACAGGGTGCCACTGTCCGGTCCGTGCTGTGCACTTCCAAGGAACAAGGACTGGCCGGAACCACAGACCTCTGAAGGACCAAAGGCAAAGAGAAAAACCAGCCTCTAAGCCAGGCCATTCCCTAGACGTAACTGACTACAACACAGGAACAGGTTTCTGTGTGTGAGGGTATCTGGAGAAGGTCTTTATATCTGTACAAGACAAAATATTCAAGTTTCAAAATATCCCAATGGCCGGTTTACTCTGAACCCCCTGCTGCTGCTCTCCACTCCCAAGGGTGCTCCGACTTGGTGGGAGGCGGGCCACGTGGGAAATTAACCAGCCCCTCAATGGTCCCTCTGTACCCAGAATGAATGTAGTTAGGATGGATTTAAGAACTGGTGGCTTGGCCTGAGGAATTGCTGCGTTCAGTGGGAGCAGGGCAAGTTCATAAATAAGTGCACAGAACTCTTGGAATACAGGCATCGTCTACTCTTCTCGGAATGCGGGTGCCTCCCAGGGAGGAGCGCTGCTCTCGCTGTCCTAAGTTCCATCGAGGGAGGCTTCCGTTCTCTGCAGTGACAAGAGACAAGATGAGCTATGGTCACACACTCCAGGATTATAGACAGGCCTGGTGGAAAGATTTGCAAAACTGCAGACCGCAGACTGTGCTTCTCAAAGGAACTGCAGAGCAGGGCTGTCATCTGCGGGTCCACCCACCCTGGGGGGCAGCTCCTGCCCACACTCATTTCCCCCTTCTCGCCACGCCTGCTCGGTAGGGCCTGCAGCCTCCACTCCCCGTATATACACTTACAGCAGGCTAGAACCTGGGCTCGTCCAGCACCCATGTGCACCCAGCACTAGGGCCCGTGGGTGCCGCATGTGCCCACAGGAGAAGACGAGTACAGTTGAGAGACCTGGCTTCTTGCTCCAGCTCTGCCTCTAACATGAGGTCTCCTTTTAAATGTCAAGAATGAAGGACGGAACTCAATTGGACAAACTTAAATGTTTTAAAATTCTATGATTCTGCCTCAGAAAGGAATGAAATTCTGATACATGTCAACATGGATAAACCTTGAAAACATTATGCTACGTGAAATAAACCAGACACAAAAGAAACGAGTGTTGTATGATTCCACCTAGATGAGGTACCCAGAACAGCCAAGTTCACGGGGACAGGAAGTAGAATGGTGGCTGCCATTCTGGGAGGAAGAGGGGATGTGGAATTAGGGTTTAAAGGGGACAGAATTTTGGTCTGGATGATAAAAAAAAGTTCTGTGGATGGATGGTGGCAATGGTTGCACAACAATGAGAATGTACTTAAGAACACTGAACTGAACATTTAAAAATAGTTAAAATGAGGGGGGCGGGTACAGCTCAGTGGAAGAGTGTATGCTTAGCATTTAGCATGCACAAGGTCCTGGGTTCAATCCCGAGTACCTCCATTAAAAAATAAATGAAAATATTAAACCTAATTACCTCCCCCTCCAAAATTTTTTAAATGGTTAAAATGGTAAATTTCATGTTGTGTATGTTTTGCTACAATAAAAATGAAAAAAATTTAAAAAATATTCCATATGCCATCTTGTAGAGTTCTCTAACTGCTCCATGTGGTATTTGTGTCACCTATGCACCCATCAGTGACTGGACCCCCATGTGACCCGGGCACTGTTCTCTCTGTTGAGGATGCAAGAACATGTCCCCGAGAATTTTATATCCTATCGATTGTTGACAAGCAACGCTACTATGAAGTAGAAGGTGGAAGAGCTCCTAACAAACCACAGAAGGGGTTCAGAGGTGGTGAGAGGACCTGGCTGGGCTTCGGGGAAGGGACTCTGGAGCCGGCCTCCAAGCTGGGGTGGATTTTGACATATGGAGGGAGCAAGGGGGCAAGAGTGAAGCATGCCGGGAAGTACCGGAGTAGAGGGGCCCTGAGCAACCATGAGTCCAGAAGAGTCTATGACTCTGGACTCTCTGTGAGCACGGGGCGCCCTGCTGCAGGTGGAACACAGGGAGGCAGGGGCAGAAGTTGCGGGGACTGGCCAGGGTCTTAGGAGCCCCACTAGCCACGCTGTTAGTCCCTCTGAGGGTTGGCTGAGACAGAGTCCCTGTTTTGTTCTGGTCCTGCTGGGTCTGAGGAGCCTCTTGGAACAGGATACAGGTCCGTGGGGCTCCAGCTGGAAGGCCAAGGAGAGACCCAGGCAGGCAGGCTAAGAGAGCTGTGCTGGCCCCGGGGGGCTGGAGCCCTGCCAGCTCTGTCAGCTACCCTCGCTCCATTTCCTCCACTCCGCCTGGAGGGGTGACACTGGTGTCCAGCCTTCCTGCAGGCTCCAGACTAAGTCCGTCCCCAGACACCTCCGCTCTCCCTCTCCAGGGGAAGTGATTGCTGGGGGAGCTGCCACAGGACCAGCACCACAGATGGGAAGGGCTGGGCCACAGTCATCTGAGCCTTGGCATTCTGAAGCCTGTGCTTGCCTGTGTTTAAATCAGAGCCCAGCCGTCAGGCACCCAAGTACAGCCAAGAAACTGCCCCACTTCTGGCCAGAACATGGTGCGAACACTCTCAAAGGTCATTGTGCCTCTAACTCTCCTGGGAGCTTGACTTCCTGCTTCTAGAATGTGCTCCTTCTGAGCACTTCCAATAAACCAGATCTGTGCTGGGGGCTCACCTAGTCCTTGCAACAGCCAAGTGAGAGAGGGCTTTATTGCCTCCAGTTTACAGATGAGGAAACCAAGGCCCCGAGAGGTTAGGAGATCTGTCTGAAGTGACATGTCTAATAAAACAGCTGTCACGGAAAAGTCAACACGTTTAACGTGGGTCCCGCTTCCTAAGTCAAAGCTTGGCTATGGTTGAATCTGGTGTTTTAGTTAAGCAACTGCTACGTTCCTCTCATGTGACAGGGGGCATTTCAGGACCAAGGGAAGCAAATTCCCCATCCATGCTCCACACTGCTAGAGTGTTTGAGGAAAAGAACTTTAAAGCAGATAATCAATTAGCTTTTCTCCGGTCGTTTGCAGTCTGCACAGCACTTTGCACATGTGTTTCTCATTTACCCCTTAAGACCCTCCTTAATAGGCAAATATTATTTTTGTTGTTGTCATCATCGTCTCCATTTTACAGACGGGGAAGCTTAGGCTTGGCTGGAGAGCTGGAACTCACGCCCCAGCCTCTCGATCCCCACCCCAGGGCTGTTCCCACTGCAGCCCAGCTGACTGCTGGCTCCCAGGAGGCAAGGGGGACAGTGGTAACTAGGAATTGCCTTTTTTTCAGCAAGAAGTCAAGTTCTCTCCAAGATCCTGAGACCCACACAGGTCCAGATCCATCCCTTTCATTTAGGAACAGGGTGTTCTCTTTCACGTTATCTGTCTGCCTGGGCCACAAACATGATTTATAAACAAGGCAAAAATGGCAGAGGAAAAATGAAGTCAGAATGTGCCATTGAAGCAAGTCAAACAATACTAAATTAGTATTTGGCTAAGTGGCTATCTCATTGTTAAGATATTTCCTCCAATATGTTTTCAGAAGCAACGGCCATTAAACAACTGGGAATGATTGCCAGGTTTGATTTCAGGAAGGAAATCCCCTCCCATTTCCCTGCTGGGCAATTCAACTAATTTTCTCTTGACCCTCACCAGCTGATTATTAGGGAAACTATACTTGCTTCTTTTACAAACAAAATGCATTTGCTTAAAGATTCAAAATTCCTTTCCCAACGGCTGGGAACCCATGTTCCCGCCAAAAGGCTTTACTCTTTTGGGGGCAGGAGCAGCCGTGGGTGAGCTCTCAGGGGCAGACTCCTGGGCTCACAGGCCAGATACTAGGGAAAGGGAAAGTTCTGTCTGTTCTGGAGCTCGGAGCCTTTGTCCACAGAGACCATTTGGATCGAAGACAAAGTAAATAAGTCGGTCCTGCAGGTCCAGCAGACCTGCCTTGGGTGGACATGGCCATGATTATTGCAGCGGGAGAGCATCTCTTTATCTGGGTCCCACCAGGCCCTCGGAGCCAAGTTCTCACTTTCCACTCTCTCCAGGCCAAGGTGGCTGGGTCAGTGACATCACTTCTTGGAGGGAGTCTCGTGTTGTGGACTGGCCGGGAGTCTGGAGGCCTAGGTTCTGGTCTTGGCTCTGCTATTCACAAGCTGGGTGACCCTGGGCAAGCTGTTCTGCCAAATTCAGGCCTTGGTTTTCTCACCTATAAACTGGGCCCCCCGTCTTTCCAATGCAACAGTTTCTGATTTCAGAAGTCTAGGTAGGCTTAGGCTAGGGAAAGACATTTGTTTCATTCCTCTTTTCCTGAAATTGATAGCCTTCCTCCATAAAAAGAATGTCAGCGGCTTCCTGTCTGTCAAAGACATAATAAGTTTTCTGTTTTACAAGAATTCAGACTCAGGCAAAACAAAGGAAGCCAGGGGGCCCCCTACAAGGGCTACCAGCAAGCTTGCTGCAAGTTCTTCTCAGACCTTAAAGAAGCAGTTGGAGAGACAAAACTCCTTGTTTCTTAAGATGCTAGCAGCCCCGTTAGTTAACTCCTGCATTGCTGGGTAGCTCATAAAAAAGTTGGGAGTAGGAAGATGGGGAAGATGGGTCTTTGCAAAACTTGGATCTCTGTATTTCTTTTAAACAGTATCAGTTGCCTAAATCCTCTATTTCCCACTGAATGAAACCTCATAATGAGGTGTGGGAGTCCTTCCCAAGCAAGCCCTGACTCACCTTTCCCCTGTCAACTGTCACCAGCACCTTGTCTGCTCCCTCTCTGAGCTGCTACAATGGCCCCATTCCTCATGCCTCTGCCCCGGCTGATCTTTCCACCTGGATGCTGCCGTAAACGACTCATTCTTCCTGGCCCAGCCAAGGGACCCCTCCCTTGTGCAGAGACCGCTGTCCTGGCAGGATGAAGCACCTCTCTCCTCTGTTCCCATGGTCTCTGGTGTAGCTGCTATCACTTTGCTTTCCCATCAGTGAGAACACATCTGACTCCCTCATTGGGTCCAAGACCTTGAGTGTCCCCGGCAGCAGACAGCCTGGTGCGTGAGGGTGACTGGCTCTCAGACTTGAAATGAGCTGTTGGATGCTTGATGTCTCCAGGCACATCCCCGAGTCTGCCTCACCTCCCAAGACTGAGCCCTGGACTCGGAGGAAATGTGGACTCGGTCACTGGGAACTAAGTGCCCTGGACTCCTCATCCTAGGGGGGATTTCCCGGGTCTCCCTTCACGCGTGCATGGAGATGTAATGACGGAAACAGCGGGAGGGAATTTCAAAATCACAAGTGGGCTAGAAAACCTGGCTGGTCAAGAGGAGCCCAGACTCCTGGTCTAGAACAGACGAGGCCAGTACAGTGGTGTAACTGGTGGGGCTGCAGTACTGGGTGAATCTGGAAAGACTTCACTGTTCAATGGACTATTTTTTTTTAAGTAATGCATATGAAATGTGTACTTACAGAATATCTGTTTTCCACGAAATCTGCAAAACAAAAGACAACATGGAGGTGAGCAATACGAAGAGAAGAACACGAGTTAGGCTCCCCTCACCCCCAACCTCAGGGGCTAAGCACGTGGAAGAGGGAGGGAGGGGGCGGCGGTGCAGCAGACGCCAGACCCTCAAACTTACGGAGCGCACTGGCTTATGACTCCTTTGCCCACAGACTGCCTCCCTGGGCCCTATAGCTCCCTATGACAAGCACATTAAGTCCCTGGCAGCTCATTTGACATTTTAAGCAGTTTTTGAAAAAAGCTAATAGCATATGTTATTTTAGGAAAAAACCCCTGAAAACTACAGAAAAGTAGAAAGTAGGTGAAAATTATCTCTGGTTCCACTGTTGACTGAAATGTCTTCCAGTTATTTTCCATTAAGAGCAGAGTTTTTTTTTTGGGGGGGTTATAAGAACACAGTCTATGCCATTTTATAGTCTATCTTTTTCACTTCTTTTAAACATTTTCTGGTACCTTCTTAAACATAATTGTTAGTAGTTGCGTAATAATCATTCAGTGGATGTGCAACTGTTTACTTAACCAGCTCCTTACTTAAAAATTTAGGTTCTTTCCAAGGTTTTGCTATTTTAAAAAATACTGCCAGTACCCTCTTTGGGAACAAAGCTACTTCCATATTTCACACAAGTTAGTCTATTCCCAGGAGTGGGGTCAGTGGAACAGAAGGCACAAACATGGCCGACGCCCTTGGTATATATGGTCCAAGCATACATCCCCTTTCTGTGGGAAGCCTCATCTTGACTATCTGGAGACCACAGCATCTTCATGGCAGAGGGCATGCTCAGACTGGTGGCCCTGCCAGACTGTGATGGTGGCAGAGGATGTCCAGAAGATGAGAGTGAGGGTGAGAAAGGCCAACGAGAACAGGAGACACTGTGTGGACGGTGAGTGACCCTCCAGTTGTATTAGTAAGAGATGGTTTTCACTACAAGAGGAAAGAGGGGTTGTGATCTGCCCCTTGGACAGGACCAGGTCCTTACTGATAGCAGAGTTTCTGAATGGGGAGTGGCTGATTCCCTAAATAGCCCATTATGGGCATGGACCTGAAGACAGAGAAGCCTGCGGAAGGCCCGAGAGGAGATGAGGGTATTGGGAGTGACTGCTGTCCTTGAAGTTGGTGGAGGGCCCTAAACACCACCACCACCACCACCACCACCACCACCACATACTCAGTCTTACTTGAGAGACACAGTCCAAGGGCCCTCAGTTTCTACTCAGCGCCCAAGCTCAAACCCAGTCCCTCCTGAATCTCAGGGCTCAGCTGTCACAACGGGAGTCACAACCTTGTTTCTTTCTCTAGTTTAAAAATATCCTGTTTCCACCAGTCCACTTCCTCCTCAAACCCTGTCTTATCACAGCCCCATTGTGCGACTCCTCTAGAGGGACCAGGGCCAGAAGTTCCTCAGGGGCCCCCTTCTGTCCTGGCTGGGCCACAGGCAGGCGTCAAAGGCCAAATGGATGAATCAGCCCAACCAAGAAGTCCAGCCATTGTGTAAACTTCCACACATTGAGTGAGGCCTCGGGCAGCGTCCCACCCCCAACCCAAATCTGACCTGGGAGGACCCAAAGGGTCCAGTGCTTCCCACTCCTCCAAAGCCCCCAGGGCTCCAGAATCAGACACAAGAGGAAAAGGCTGCGTGTCCTAAAGTGATATGGACACAGAACAGAAAACCCGAGTACGCTGATGATTCTGATGGTGCTCTGAGTGACGCACAGCACTTGGTTTGTTTCTTTTTTGGTAATAGAATCCGGTGGGTAGCACCCTCCCACCGCCGCCCCCATGGAGTAAGTTTTACCCTCTTGCACTCTGAAGTAGGAGCCTCCACCCCAAGGGCAGGGCTGGCAGTACCTGATGGCGTGGCTGGCTCCGGTCCTTGCAGGATGGGAGGGGACGGGCCCTCAAGTGCTCTTCCTTCCCTCCCAGAGGGGACACAGCAGAGGGACCCTCTGCTCTTTGGTCCTTTCTCCACAACCACCCACTCCTTGGCTCCCTTAAGAAGCATCCTAGAAGTCTGAATTCCAGGCAAAGAGAAAGCAGAAGAGGGAGGCTGTGGTGAAGGTGGGCCCCATCTGACCCAATGGACATGGGTTAGTGTCTGGAGCAGGACTCGGTGTCTCTTCCCAGAGCCATGAGCCGTCAGGTGGGACGTGCCCAGGACCCCTCCCAGGTGGGCACAGGGCATCTAGGGAGGAACACCAGCTCTCGTCTTGGAGGAATCACAGGAGGTGAATTCCTCCAAACCTAAGTTTCTTAACACAGTCACTGTTGACATTCTGGGCTGGATAATCCTTCCTCGTGGGGGCTGTCCTGTGCCTTGCAGGATGTTTAACAGCATCCCTGGCCTCCACCCATTCGATGCAGTAGCACCCCTCCTGCCCCTCAAATTATGACAACCCAAACTGTCTCTAGACATTACCAAATGCCTCTTGCACTGAGGACAACAGCTCTAAACTCTGGAACTCTTATCCTAGACCTGAGTTCTTTCATAGGGAAGAACTTGACTGAGTTGCCAATTAATTATGATAAACCACTTTACCCTTCTGTTGTAAACAGTGTATATGTTAACAAGTTATGCTTTGGATGAACTGCAAACTGTTTTATAAAGGACTTTCAGGATAAGCTGGAGTACTATAAAACCAGTACTGAATCAGAGTGAAGATCCTGGCTAGCCAAGCACACAAGCCTAAACTAGGCTGAGAAGCTGACAAGGACACTGTGAGGCACAGATAACCGTGACTTCTCGGAGGGGCTCTCTACCCAGCCACAATGTCTCCCTTTCAGCCGTGTCACTAGGTGAGGACTAGGAGAACAAGGGCAAGGAAAAGAAAATCTCAAGCCTTCCCTTCGAGTAGTCAGCACCCGTCGGAGGAGGAAGACAGCTTGCAGGGGCCGGGGGCGGGCGTTTGACTGCAGGCGGGCCTGTGACCCAGAGCACAGCCACTGGGCCTTGCAAATCCTAACCTCAGGCCAATAAGTGAAAAGGGAATGAGAACTTTAAAAAAAAAAACCTCAAATGCTAAGCTTACAGATCTAAATGGTAAGAGTGTCAGCATTTTCCCCTTTCCCTAGGAAAGCCGAAGTTTACGGAGAGGCAGAAACTCTTTCTCCACCCATCCTGGCTGTGTCCCAGAACTTGCTCTCTTGTCTCCTTAGGTCTCCCTCAATTTGGTGTCTTTCTGATCAAGTCTTTCTAGTTCTGAGAAACCCACTCCTTCCCTCCCTAACAGGCAGGGGACACATAGCAAAGAATCGTCTAACAGCCGGAAAGCAAAGAAGCTCAAAGGTCGAGAGGTTTCCTCGCCTTAGACTAAGTTAACTGCTGGGATGAGGAGATGTTAGCTCAGCTGTATGTCGACAAAATGGGCTCCAAACAGAAGAGCAGACACGCCTGACCGTGGCCAAGACCCAGCGGGAGAGACTGAATTGGAAGAGATGCCTCCCTCCTTCCGGTTTTATAGAACCTAGCTGCCACCGCAGCCCCTGTCCACTCAAGGACCACGTGCACCCCAGGAACACCAAGGTGTTCACCCTGCAGCAATCCCAGAGGCTGAGGGCATTTTATTGAGAATTAGTGAGAAAACTAATGCCTGACAGAGAAGTGAGGGGTGGGGCCAAGGCTTAGAACCTGACAAGAGCAGAGCTGAGACCAAACCCCAGGTCTCCTGCTTAGGCTATTTTCCACTAGGTCTGCAGTTTCAAGAACCGTCCAGGCTGGCCTCTGACTGACATGGATGCAGCCTCTGGGATCCAGGACTTATTCAGATTTGAAGGGAAAACTCTGGAGTCAAGGGTGCGTAAAAGATTAGGACTGGCTCCAAGGGACCTGGGGAGTGACTCTTAGAAGTGACCGACTCCCTGCCCCTGCAACAAACAGATCAGAGGCACAGGTCTGGGGTGACCAAGGCAAAGACAAATGAGCATTGCTTCCAAATGCCAGGACACTGGAGACTCTCAGAATGTTATGACTGAAAGGCAACTTAAACTCATTCATTCAACCATCTAATTTGACAGATTAAAAAGCTGAACATAGTCAAATTCACAGAGACACAGAGTAAAACGGTCGTTACCAGGGGCTGGGGGGTGTGAGGAACTATCATTTAATTGGTAGGAATATCAGTCTGGAAAGATGAAAAGTTCTAGAGTTGGATCATCTGATGGTGATGCTGGTGTGAATATACTTGGTGTTACAGAAACATACGCTTAAAAATGGTTAAAAAAGCAAATGCTATGTATATTTTACCACAGTTAAAAGAAAAAAAAAGCTGAGCTTAGAGCCTAAAGCTAAGATTGCAGAGACCTGCTGCCTCCCACGGCCAACAGGATCCCCGACATCCTCAGCTGGCAGCCCCCAACACCGTTGCCGGGGCCCTGGTCCTTCTCAGAGCCCCCCCTCAGGCTGCTCCTCGGAAGCAGGCCAGCTGATGCCCTTTTGCTTATCTGGAGGAGCAGTTTTCCTTTGTATTACTCAGGGGAAAAGGGGGTTGAAGAGCCAGAGCTACGCCCTGTGAGCCATTTCCCAAAATAGCCAGCCCTCAAGTGCTGCTTGTTGGAAGACAGTGGGGAACTGCGAAGTCAAGGTGGGGAAGAGTGTACAGCTGAGGAGGGAAGCCATTTTTTTTATGTGGGTCCCACCCTCCCCTCCAACACACACACACACACACACACACACACACAGTCTCTCTCTCTGCTGGCCAATCTGGAGCAATCCCTCCGATTGCTGGGGAGTAAGAACAACTCTACCCCTTCAAACAAGAAGCAGAGCAGAACTCAGAGCATCTAGAAAGTGGTTCTAAAAGTATGTTCCCAGACCAACAGCAGCAGCAGCAGCACACGGGAATTTGTTAGACATGCAAATTCTCAGCCCACTCCAGACCGGTGTCAGAGGTGGTGTCAAACCACCTGTATTTTAACAAACTTGGAGAACCTTGACCTAGATTCCAGCCTATGCCTTTCATTCCACAGAGAAGGTGACTGAGGTCCCGAGAGGCTTCATGACTCGCCAGGGTCACCCAGACCATACCAGGCTGTTACTCTTGACTTCAAAAGCAGACAGAACTGAAACCTCCAATTAGGCTGATGATAAAGTGGAAACCAGTTGGCTTGGCAACACAGAGCAAACAAGAGGCTGGTAAAGAGAATCGCTCTGCAGCCAGGCACCCTGCTTCGAATCCCTGCCCCACCACCCTGGGCCTTGGGGCCAGGGCCAGCTATTTCACCCTGGGGAAACTTGCCCATCTGTAGAGCAGGACTAATAATGGAGCTTCCATCAACCCTATAATGATTTTAAGATTAAGTGAGCAGCTGACAGAAGAAACAAAAGAAAGAAAAGGGGAGCAGAATCAACCAAGGCCTGCAGCCTCCTCCCCTTGGGCAGCAGCTGAGGGGGAAATACTCAAAAGCAGGAACTCCGGGCTCCCAGGACAGGGCCCTCCTCAGCAAGGTGGGGGTGCAGGTTTTCACAGCAGTGACACAGTTTTACCTACAAGACCCAGGGCTCGCTCTGCCCTCAATCCCTGGGCAGGAGCCGGCTGCCAGGTTAGCGACAAGACTGCAGAGAGACTCAAGCCCCAGTCGACCCCCAGTGGCCCCGATAGCACAGTGGGAGTGCCCTGGCCTGGGAGCCCCGAGATGGCGCTGGTCTTGCCCTGGGCCAGGCACTGAACTCCAGGGCTCAATTTCCTCACGCGATCTTCAGCTACAATGGACTGAATGCTCACTGTTGGTAGGGGTAACACACTGACTGCGTGCTCGGGATAACTGGGGCCATCTCCCCTGATGCTATCTCATCCCTTTTTCTCACTTAATCCCACCTCCATTTAATGGTTGAAGAAAGTGAGTCTTAGAGGGGTTAGGCATCTTGGTCAAAGTTACACAGCTGGTAGCACCAGGGCGGGGAGTGTGGAGGCCACGTGCACTTCACCAGCTTTCCTTCACCAAGACCAAAGGCAGCGCAGGTCATTGATCAGGAGCAGGGACTCCGGCTCCCGGGTGGGCCAGTTCTCGGGGACTAACACTAACCCTGGGCAAGTGTTTTAACTTCCCTGTGCCTCAGTATCCTCATCTGTAAAATGGGATTTGTTGTGGAGGCTGGAAAGAGATAATGTAACATAGACCACTTTTAGCACAAACAGCAAGCACTCAATAAATATGAGTGTTTGTATAACCGAAGCAACTGAAAGTGAACCACCTCAGGGACCACGAGGAAAGCAAGAGGTGCATTTTGGCCCAACCACTCAACAACTGGGACCCTAAATGACCTTTAGCTTTCTGTTTCACTAGAAGAATTTCTTTCCAAATGTGTGTTTTGCTAGCTCTGAATATATTAAGAATGCAAAATGAGGCACTGAAGCCAAAAATCCTCCAAGAAATGGTTTTCAGTCAGGGTCAAGTTCCCCAAGGGGCTGAGTTTCTGCTCCACCCATGAAAATATCACTTTAAAAAAGATTAATTAAGAAGTGATTCCTATTGCAGATAAAAAAGTAGGCTCTTCAGGTAAGACAGTGTCTCTCAAATGTTGGCAGCACCAGAAAGATGTGGGACCCAAAAAACACAAGGAATAGTCAGTATTTTGTAGTAACTATAAATGGAATCTAAACTTTAAAAATTGTGAATCACTATGTTGTACACCTGTAACTCATGTAATATTGTACATCGACTATATCTTAATTAAAAAAAAATCACTGACCACAGGTAAGAATGTAATAAAGGTAATAATGAAAAAAGTAAATTAGACCATCATATCAGAATTAGAGAAAACCATTAATTAGCACTAAAAAAAGAGAGAGATGTGGGACCTTGCTGGAGTTCAGATTCTGGAGGTTCTGACCCTGCGGGGCTGGGCTGGGCCTGAGACCACTGCCGCCCGTCTCTGGACCACCCTCAGGGCAGCTGGGCTTTACGGAAGTTGCCCAGCCCATTTTAATAATTTCCTTTCAAAGGATCCACTTAAATAGAAGGCTGTTGTACAAAGCAAGATAGCCACATAGGGACCATTTCCCCCAGAATGCTTATGTCTTTTGGGTTGCAACTTATTTTCAGAATTTAAAAGTAGTCTTTGTGTGAAAACAGACTCATAGATACAGAGAACAAACCTGATGCCAGAAGGGACGGGGGTGGAGGAGGGGTGACACAACAGGTGTAGGGGATTAGGTACAAGCCTCCAGTCACATTAAAAAAAAGTCACGGGGATATGATATATAGCATAAGGAATATGGCCAATAATATCATAATAACTTTATATGGGGACAGATAGTTACCGGACATATTGTGGTGATCATTTTATAATGTATGCAAATATCAAATCATTATGTAGTACACTGGAAAAGAACATAACATTGTATGTCAACTAGATTTTAAAAAATAAATAAAAGTAGTCTTTGTGGATTTCATTTCATGAGAATAGAATAATTACACAAAAAATGAGATTGTTGGGCACTTGCCCAGTTCCGTGTCTGCTTGGGCACTGTGCTCAGTCCTGGGGGAAGCTCTTCCTGGGGAAGCAGTGGAGATGGGAAATGAAGTGGGTTCTGGGCAGAAGTCAAAGGAAATGAGAGCAGATCCACACCCCGCCACCTAAAGTCATTGTGCTCTCAGAAAGGCTGGAGCTACTGAACATTTTCAAAGCAAAGCACTGACTTTGCCTGAGACTTTCAGGAGCCCCGGTGCACCAGGGCCTGGCCCGTGTGAGGAGCAGGTGAGGCTCTGTGGCTGGTATCTGAGAACAGGCAGGGCCACACTGCTTCTCTCGGGGGTCACAAGTGCCCGGAATGCTGCTGGGCATCTTGTGAGCATACAGCGGCACCAGGACACGCTCTAGTCCAACTGGCCACTGCTGATTGTGAATGTATGAGATTTTGTTTGCCTGGCATGCGGCCGGCAATCAACGAAATAAATAGTACCTGTAACCCGAGGCCACTTTGTAAGGGTGAGGGGGGGAGACAGAGTCAACAACTCTGGTGTAAGGTGGCATCTTTCTTGGCCTCCTTTGCTCCTTCTTTTCCCTGCCCACTCCCAAGACCCTGTGGATGATTCCAGGGAAAGTGCCCTCCCCCCAACCCCAGACTGGGGCAGTTAGGGGGTCCTCACTCACCAGGGTCAGCCTTCCGGATTTCACTGTACACCGTCTCCGTGCCCTTTGTTCCCAGACCTGGAAAGGGACCAGGCACAGGTCAACAGCTGCCTCTGGGCACCAGGTCAGCCCACTGCTGAAGCCGGAAAATATTGGAGGCTGCATCCCACTACCCCATCCCACAAGCGCCCATCTCCAGGAGCACCTGGAGTCCTTGTCATTACTAAGCCCAAGCTGTTTCCCAGCTTTAGAAGATCCTGGTCTAACCAGCGCCACTCTCAGTCTGGAAGTACAAGGCCAACAGACCGCTGTGGGAACCCTGGACCTATGGCGCCAAAGGTAGAGGGACCCCCAGCACAGACCTGCAGCCTCTAGCTCAGTGGCCCCAGCCCTCTTTCCCTGTGTCCAGCTGCTCTGTCAGCCCCTCCCAGGAGGCTGGGCTGTGGCCTCCCTAACACCCAAAGTCTGGGTTAGAGCCTGGGCATCGTCTGGATCTCTAAGGATCAGCTGGGACTGGGACCTGCTTACAAATCTTGACAGCTGGGCTAGTTGATTTCCGATGCCAACACCTGGGCCTGACTGCTGCTTCTGATTGAATTGGTTGAGGGTGGACCCTGGCATTGGTGTTTTTTAATTGCTCCTCAGGGAATTCTAAGATGCAGGCAGGGTTGAGAACCTCTGGTCTGGGCCCTTTCTGAATAGCAGACAAGATGACTGA